CCTCCCTCCTTCCCCACTATACTCGATCCCTTGAGTGCTTACGCAAGAAAAAGAGGACGCTAACGTAGTGCGCATGTCACAGGACGTCGTGGGTAGGACACGTGAGGGCGCTATTGTGTAAAACTCTTAGCAAATTGCCTGCCGGCATAGGGAACAATGCATATGTAGTATTCGCTCTACAGGTAAGTATTCGCTCGTAGACCCCAACCACACTACTGTGGGGGGGGGGGGGATTTCACAATAAATAATGTTACTAAATATGGATAAGTACCTTTGAACACCTACTTTCACCAAACAATTACTTCAGTCGTAAATTTCATGAGTGAGTGTTTTTTTTTTGGTCACGTCACTCTATGCTGTTCGTCAAAGATATATTTGATAAAATCAATCATTTCGATTGCGTTACCTTATCACCACATAAAGGTTATTGTTGATTTTTTTTTTTTTAAGAAACAAAGAGCAACTTTTTAACCTTATTTGTGATCCATTTTTCCGGCAAAAAAAAATTTCAAAAATGGTTCCACCTTTTTTTCAGACCGTACCCGCGTGCCGTCTGGTTGGATCGCTTCTGGACGGAAGTTCCAGTGATCCGCACTGCATGGCTTCCCTGCACTCAATATTTTGAACCAGCGGAATGGACTTACCTGTTTCGGCTCATTTCTTCAACCATGTTTTATTAGCATAATACGAGATTTTAAGTTCCAGCATAATTTATATCATCGTCAAAAACTAATCACAATATTATATCAAACTGAAGAGAATCGTTTTTTTCTACGTCGCGGTCAGCATTCGGTGTGAGTCCTTAATCATTATTTAATTCGTGTTTTTAATTCATTCAGTTTTTCCCTGCAATCGTGTTTCCTTCAACTAAATTTTCAACAGGCTAGTGCTTGCGCACTAGCCTTCCTAAAAAATATTAGGAAATTGTCCCAATATCCGTTAATGTTTTTGATTAACTTCTGCATTGAAAAAACATCGCTATTTCACATGCCACTTATCAAAACCTTTCGCCGCTCGCGCTCGCGAACATTAATCTCTCCAATAAACCCCAATATATTTTGAGCACGCATGTTCGCTGACTTCGCCTTATTATAATAAGATGTCTAAGTGCTGTGAATTATTCAGTACGAACATTAACATAACAAAGGCGCAGGTTTCGTGACTACCTCATTAACTTGAC